AGAGAGGGCACATTAGGTAATCTAGGAGTGAGAGATTAGAACTTACCCAACACTACTATACATGCCGACACCAACTTTAGATTAGTCAATGTTCTTTACACATCGAAAGAAGTAAAGAATAAGTATACTCGTATTTGTCACAATACCACATTTAAACTTCTAAACATTGGAAATCCTATACTAATTATGAATTATTTGCAAGGAGGAAGTCTCTTTCTATGTATTTTATACAATAACGATATTTCCTTTTACTTGCATTAGTAGAAATTTGTAAACTTAATTTTCATCATTACTTCTTTAGATATTTCTTGCAGTATTAAGTAAAGTTTTATTAAAGTTAAAATTCCTAAATTTCAATTTTTTTCATTTGCATTTCCTTGTGGGATCAATATTAGTGTTTTTAAAGAAAATCCTATATTATTTGAAATGATACACATACTTGCGTAGTACCCCTAGTAAGAAAACTATTTCTTTAAATTTTATCATATTACATTTGTTCTCACTAGCTGCTAAATATAGTTTGGGTTAAGTTTTTGGCATATTAAGGAACATAAATATCTGCGTAATTGCAGTTCGGGTAAGTTTACTAATAATTTTTTTCTTAAACAAGTATCCCTAATACTTTGTTTTTGACTATCTTTCAATCCAAGAAATCATTTCTTGGTAATTCTAGTAAGTGTATTTTTTTTTAAGAAAATCCATAGGCATCTTTACCTTTTAAATTATAATTATATATATTTAAACTATTTTCTATTACCCATTTATCGATTATTTCATTAATATTTTTGAAGCAATGAATGTTTGAGTAGATACCGTTTCCATTAATGGGTTAAGGTGTGTGATTTTGGATCTTTGTTTCTGATTGATTTGATTTAGGAGTAGGAATATGTTTAATACTTGATGGTAAATAATGTGCATAAAAATTGGTTTTGTGACTAGTGATCCCAACTATCTATAGATGTTTATTGCGATGTATGTGATTATATGCTTAATTTCCTTGATAAAGATTTTTACTTTGCAACAAAGCCAAAAACTTTATCCAAAGCAAAAGCTAGGTAAATTTTTTACTATGAAGCAAAAAAGAATACAATTATAATAACAATTAAATATGAGATACTACACAAGTATATATATCGTTATCAAGTAATATAAGACTTTTTTTATTTAGCCTAGAATATCAAACCCACATGAAAAATTTGACAATATGCACTCTACAAAACAAAAAAAAAATTAGATAACTCTACAAAACAAAAAAAAATAAGATAACGAAAGTCTACTTAGCAAAATATTATTACTTAAACCAAAGATGCTATAATAGGAATAAAATTTGATTCTTTTTGTAATTGTTTGATAATTTAAATAAAATAAGCAACAAATTAACTTAACTAAATATTTGCAAGAAGAAAGCAATATAAATAAAATATCTTTTTCATTATCATGAATTAGTAACAAGTATATAAATTCTGTTGTGGAAGCATTCTAATTGTGTTGTGTCAAATAGGAGCAATAATATTCTTTACTCTTACTAGAAATGCTATAAAGAAAATTGATTAATCTATAATTTGAATAGTTTTGAAGACCGATTAGGTAGAGAAGATACTAGCTCTCACTCTAGAGTTCTCTCTTCTCCCTCTATCAAGGCTAACATCTCGTATCAAAACCTAAAACTATAAAGCAAATTAGAGGTTTTAGTCTGTCACTCTAAAGTCCTCTAATTCTACACCCTTCAAATTTTATTTTCGTATTTATTTCATATTTATTTGCACTCAACCACATGAAATACATTCTCATCCACAAAATCAAATGTGATTCTTACCATTTGTTGAGTGAGACAATACCATCTCAGATCTTACAAGTTTTCACAATAGGTATTAACATCTTAATTGGTCAAATCAAGAAGTAAATGAAGTACAATATTTCAAATCATCACAACTTCTTCCAACATTGAAGTTTAATTCTTCACACAAATTCCTTTAAATACTTAATTACTTATTATTTTAAAGAAAAAGATAAAGAAACCTACTCAGAATTCATGGAGAAAACACAACCATACTTGAGTTTAAAGGTAGAATTCATGCACACAAAAGAGAAATCCAAATTAAAACCAAAAAATTAAAACCAAACAAAGTAAAACCAAATGTAGTCACAAAGATACACACTTATCTTAAATTCTCTTTACCAAATGTCTTGAAGTTCCTTTGAATTCTCTTCCTTCACTCACAATATAAACTAAAACTCAAAATAAAAAGAAAAGTGGTCGACAACGGTGGCGGCGATGGGCTGCGGCGGCGGTTACTTGGATGGCTGATGGCTGTTGGTTAGGATTTGTTGGCTCTTCCTCTATTGATGATCCAAGTATTTTTCTATAAAAATCCAAAAGGTTCCTTGGTGTCTCTTCAAAATGTGTCTCCATTGAATGAATCTTCTAGAATTTGCATCCTTTCAAAAGAAAATTGAATTAATTTTTCGTGTTCATGGGCTATTTTCCACATTTTTACCAAGGTTTGCTTCAAACACTTCTTAAAAATTTTTTCTAAATTCAATGAATCATCAAATAACTACTTCTGGCGCTTAAGCGCGGGGTACCTGTTGCTTAGACGCGACTCTCTCTGTATAACTGGCGTGTAAGCGCCAGCTCCTCAGTTCATTTTTTTGCACATTTTTCATTTTTACTCCAAATTTGACCCTTTTTCACTCCTTTTATCATTTTTCATCCATTTTGATTGTACCTGCAAGAAAAACACACAAATACATTTCGTTAAAGTGCAATATCTAAAAACTAGACATAAAATGTGTATATAATTCTATATATTTTAGGTGTATTAAAATCCTTCAACTTAAAATGTTACTTATCCTCAAGTGACGCTTCAATCTTTTAAAACTAAATAATTCTTTAGGAGTTTCTAAAATTTTGATGTAGAAATATAGTAGTCCAATTTAGAAAAAAATATTAGTAAGTGAGACCAAGTTAGAGTTTAAAAATTTTTAATGTTAAGAAATATGAAAAATATGTGTTTATATCTAGTTCAAAAGTATTTTAGATTCTCCAAATATAGAGTTTAGGTATTCTATAATCTCTAAGGAAAAAATTTTGTTAAGCATAATTTTACTTACCATAACATATCCTTAAGCTAAGAGTTTCTCAAGTCTTATACTTTAGAAAGATCAGATGTTAAACCAATTTTTGATTAGATACTAATCCTCAAGCTTCTCCTCGCATTTTCAATTTTTCTTTTTTTTATTTTTCTTTTTCTTTTTCTTTCTCTTTTTCTTTTCTTTTTTTTTTTCATTTTTCATTTTCTCTTTTTCATGCAAGGATTACTATATCTAGATGGGCATTTAATGATTTTGAATTCCACTCTTCCTTTCTTAAAGTAAAATCCTAATATACATTTTTTACTTAAAAATGTAATAATATATTTAAAAATTATTTTCAATAAAAGAAATTTAAGTTTTGAAAATAAAAGTCTAACTCTTCTATGCATTTCAAAAATAAAATTTGTCCTACTAAAGAGAGTTACAATATACTTATCATTTTCCACACCAAAAATTTTTAACTTTAAGTTTTTCTTCTTTACTATAAATTTTAACTAAATCCTCTTACTCATTTATATATTCAAAATTTTACTTCCCTAATATAACTTCATATACATGATCATTTTTCTTTAAATCAAAATCAAATTTATTTGAAATACATTTGAGAACAAATAAATTTCAAGTTTTTAAAAAATTTTCATCCCCCCAAACTTAAATTTTTAATAAAATAAAACATAATATAAATTTAAATATTGGTAGGAATGAAAACTAAAAATAACATGCTAGCAGAAATTTTTATATCCTAAATATGCAAGTACAAAAATTAAAAATAGGAATGAAAATTAAATTGATCAAATTTTAATTTACTTAACATATAGAGATTCATTGGACTTCTATATAATGGAGTATAACATAAAAGAAAACAAACACACTAACAAACTTGCATAACTGTAACATAAAGAAAAATATCTGGTAGTAAATTGTAAATTTTAAACATGCAGCTTTTAAGTAACAAGTTAGTTATATTCTTAAACCTTCCTAAAATCCAAAAATAAGTTCAACATAGACTAACTAATTACAATAAACAACACAATTAATACAATTACTACCACAAAACATAATAACTACTCACAAAAACACAAATACATCACAATAAAACATCACAGTAGAGTCTGACAAAACAAAACATAATAAAAACTAACAGTCTCAACAAATACATCTCTAAACACAACAAGAAGTACAAAATATCTGCATCATCAAAAGTTCACAACAATACATAAACTAAAAATCAACCTAAACTATAGCTCCAATCTAATCATCCTCATCCTCTATATCACTCTCATCAATATGCAAAGGAGTTGAAGACTGATACACCTAAACTACAGTGTTTTTAGACACATTTTTATACTATTTTTTGAGATATTATGCTTTAATGGTAGGTATTTGTGTGTTTTTTTCTTTCAGGTACAAGTAAAAAGGTAAAAAATGCTAAAAGGAGTAAAAAAGATCAAATTTGGAGCAAAGAGGTGAAAATTGTGCTAAAGTGTATTGGCGCCTAAGCGTCCCTAAGCACCGGTGAAACAGAGAAGGCTGCGCATTTAAACAGAGAAGGCCGCGCCTAAGCGCCAAAGGCAGTTATTTGGCGGTTTTCTCATTTGACCGAATTTTGAAGAGATATTTGAGGCATCCATTGGCTAAAGA